CTCCAACATTGCAAAATACATGAAGCAAACAAAGCCACCATGGGTAAGAGTCAGCAAAAACAGGAACAAAATTAGATCCCCAACAGTATCAATTAGAATTAGCAGATACATACTATAAAATAAGTGCCTAAAATTATTTAAGAAATAAGAATAAAATACACAGAACCACAAAAAAGGGGGGAGAATGATAGAAATAAAACGGCCAGTGGATGCACTGTACAGCAGAGTAGATGCAATCAAAGAAAGAATTGGCAAATTGGAAGACAGATCTGAGGTAATTACCCAGAATGCAATTACGAGAGAGAAAAAAAATTAGAAAATATGAAAGAATGGTTAACAGTCTTAGAAAATAAATTGAGAAGGTTCAATATGCAATTAATTGCAATTTTGGAAGAAGAGAATGCAATGAACATGATTTTCAGAGATAATTGCTACAATTTTACAGAATTGATGATATGAATCTTTGGTGTCAGAAATCAAAATGAGTCAAAAAAAGGAGAAATAAAACAATCCACAAGTAAACACATCAAAGTGAGTTTGTACAACACCAAAGATAAAGAGGTGATTTTAAAAACAATCAGAGAAGGACAGGAATGGTGGCTTATGCCTGTAATCCTAGCACTTTGGTAGGCTAAGGCAGGATTGCTTGAGGCCAGGAGTTTGAGACCAGTCTGATGAATGCTGAAATCCTGTCTCTACAAAAAAGGTTCTGCCCCAGATGTGAATAATTTTTGTATCTGGGTCCCCAACCCCTGGGCTACAGACCCAGTGCATGGCCTGCTAGGAACTGGGCTGCACAAGAATGGGTGAGAGGTACTGTGATGAGTGAAGATTTACCTGTATTATAGCCACTTCCCATCGATTGCATCACCACCTGAGCTCCACCTCCTGTCAGACCAGGGGTGGCATTAGATTCTCAAAGGAACATGAACCTTACCGTAAACTGTGCAAGCAAGGTATCTATTGTTGCCCACCTCTTTATAAGAATCTAATGAGCACACCCCTCACTCTCTCTTTGTCCATGGAAAAATTATCTTCCATGAAACCAGTTCCTGGTACCAAAAATGTTGGGGACCACTACTTTACATAACTAAAATAATGTAAATATAAAATGACAGAACAAAAACTATTACATATATGCTGAGGGGACAAGAGGAAAGGAAGGGAATGTGTGTGTGTAGTGCAGAGGAGTGGGTGAGAGCTGGAAAAAAATCTTTACCTTTCATAGTGGACAATCAATAGATATTTAAAATTGAAAACCACCCAGGCATAGTGGCTCATGACTGTAATCCCAGCACTCTGGGAGGCCGAGGAGGGAGGATTGTTTGAGGCCAAGACCTCCTCTGGGAATTCCTTGAGGACTGTTCAAGACCAACCTGGACAACATAACAAAACCCCATCTCTACAAAAATAAATACATACATAAAAATTATCTTTAAGATAAATAAAAGCCAAACGTGGTGGCTCATGCCTGTAATCCCAGCACTTTGAGAGTCTGAGGTAGGTGGAACACTTGAGGTCAGGAGTTGAAGACCAGTCTGTCTCTACTAAGGAAAACTAGTCAGACGTTGTGCTGGGTGCCTATAGTCCCAGCTACTTGGGAGGCTGAGGCAAGAGGATCATCTGAGGCCAACAGGTTGAGATTGCTGTGAGCTATGATGCCATAACACTCTACCCAGAGTGACAAAGTGAGACTGCCTCAAAAAAAAAAAAAA